TTTCACTAACCTACCACATCTCCACAACTTCCAAATGTTTCACTAACCTACCACATCTCCACAACTTCCAAATGTTTCACTAATCTACCACATCTCCACAACTTCCAAATGTTTCACTAATCTACCACATGTCCACAACTTCCAAATGTTTCACTAACCTACCACATCTCCACAACTTCCAAATGTTTCACTAACCTACCACATCTCCACAACTTCCAAATGTTTCACTAACCTACCACATCTCCACAACTTCCAAATGTTTCACTAATCTACCACATCTCCACAACTTCCAAATGTTTCACTAACCTACCACATGTCCACAACTTCCAAATGTTTTACTAACCTACCACATCTCCACAACTTCCAAATGTTTCACTAACCTACCACATCTCCACAACTTCCAAATGTTTCACTAACCTACCACATCTCCACAACTTCCAAATGTTTCACTAACCTACCACATCTCCACAACTTCCAAATGTTTCACTAATCTACCACATGTCTGTAATTCCCTTCCGTATATCAAGATAGGATTAATATAGCTTTTAAAAATGATGTTTCTCATCTCAGTTGTCATTAACAAAGATTGCATAAAATATTCTTTAATTTGTAAAACGCTGCCTTTGCTTGAGTTATTCTACATGTAAATTCCTTAACGCATCTTCCATCTGATCTTATCAGGGTACCCAAGTACTTAAACATATCAGCTTTCTTCCATCTGATGTTATCAGGGTACCCAAGTACTTAAACATATTAGCTTTCTTCCATCTGATGTTATCAGGGTGCCTAAGTACTTAAACATATCAGCTTTCTTCCATCTGATGTTATCAGGGTACCCAAGTACTTAAACATATCAGCTTTCTTCCATCTGATGTTATCAGGGTACCCAAGTACTTAAACATATTAGCTTTCTTCCATCTGATGTTATCAGGGTACCCAAGTACTTAAACATATCAGCTTTCTTCCATCTGATGTTATCAGGGTACCCAAGTACTTAAACATATCAGCTTTCTTCCATCTGATGTTATCAGGGTACCCAAGTACTTAAACATATCAGCTTTCTTCCATCTGATGTTATCAGGGTACCCAAGTACTTAAACATATCAGCTTTCTTCCATCTGATGTTATCAGGGTACCCAAGTACTTAAACATATCAGCTTTCTTCCATCTGATGTTATCAGGGTACCCAAGTACTTAAACATATCAGCTTTCTTTCATCTGATGTTATCAGGGTACCCAAGTACTTAAACATATCAGCTTGCTTCCATCTGATGTTATCAGGGTACCCAAGTACTTAAACATATCAGCTTTCTTCCATCTGATGTTATCAGGGTACCCAAGTACTTAAACATATCAGCTTTCTTCTATCTGATGTTATCAGGGTACCCAAGTACTTAAACATATCAGCTTTCTTCCATCTGATGTTATCAGGGTACCCAAGTACTTAAACATATCAGCTTTCTTCCATCTGATGTTATCAGGGTACCCAAGTACTTAAACATATCAGCTTTCTTCTATCTGATGTTATCAGGGTACCCAAGTACTTAAACATATCAGCTTTCTTCCATCTGATGTTATCAGGGCACCCAAATACTTAAACATATCAGTTTTCTTCCATCTGATGTTATCAGGGTGCCTAAGTACTTAAACATATCAGCTTTCTTCCATCTGATGTTATCAGGGTACCCAAGTATTTAAACATATAAGGTTTCTTCCATCTGATGTTATCAGGGTACCCAAGTACTTAAACATATCAGCTTTCTTCCATCTGATGTTATCAGGGTACCCAAGTACCTAAACATATCAGCTTTCTTCCATCTGATGTTATCAGGGTACCCAAGTATTTAAACATATAAGGTTTCTTCCATCTGATGTTATCAGGGTACCCAAGTACTTAAGCATATCAGCTTTCTTCCATCTGATGTTATCAGGGTACCCAAGTACTTAAACATATCAGCTTGCTTGAGTTTGTCCCATTTACTTGGATGCTGCATTTGGAGGGTCAGTTTTCTCTGTAATAACCATAACTTCTGTTTTTCTGCTTTTCAAACTAAGAGCCTATTTCACTTTCCGTTACAATTATGTCCATTACTTCTTGCAGGTGTGTTTCATTTTCAGCAATCAACACATCAGTATATCGCAGGTTGTTAACAATATGCCCAGCAACCACTATTTCTGGCATACCATGCATGGATCTGTTTATTATTTCACTGTAAAATTTAACAAATCATGTGATAGTACACATCCCTGTCTAACGACTTGTTAAATGTTTTGAAAAGTTCCAACTTTAATCATTCTCAGATCTTTACCATCAATGTTTAAGGTTTCCAAAATTCTAACAATTTCTTCTTTTTCACTTTGTCAAATGCTTTAGTGTAATCAGTAAAGCACAAATACATATCTCTGGTCATTTCGGTCATTTTTTCTGAAAGTGTTCTCACAATAAGTGTAGCGTTGTGTGTGACTTTACCTTCAACAAAACCGCACTGCTCTACTCCAGTTTCTGGTTTAAGAAAAATAAATATTTACATATCAAATAACTTTAATAATTATATAAGCCATGGTATAAACCACAGCCTCTTTCAAACCTGAAGTGGCATGTGACATCAACCAACACATTAGAAAGATGTGTCCCGAAATTAACCCAACTATTGCATATGTTAAATACTAATCAATGATTATTAAGAGGTCACAAAATAAGCACAACCATTAACTAAATCTTTTGTTGTTATTGTTTTATATACTTAGTCAAATACATAAAGCGCATAGGCAGTTATATTGAGCGTGTCACATGAATTTGTTGTGTCTTCTATGGGGTAAATAAACGTGGAGATAACTTTTCTCTTAGCTTTCTTACACCAATTGAATGTAAAGATACTTCCCAAGTATTTAAATTCTTGCACTTGTTTTAGGCTGTGATCTAGAATCTTTATGTCGATGGTCTGTTGCTCTCTACTTAATGCTCATGACTTCTGTCTTTTTAGTATTGATCTTCATATGATGCTTGAGGCAACTGACGTGTAGTAGGTTTATGTGGTCTTGCAGCTGTTTACTATCACTGTGAAAAATGCATTGATCGTCGGCAAAGAGCAGCTCATTGAAGTCCTCCTGTTTATCGACATCTGTTGGTGTTATGTCTATTTTATTAATATTGTCCATAAATATTATGAAAAGTAAAGGTGATAATACACAACCTTGTCTTACTCCTGATGTTACTGGGAACCAGTCTGTGATGCCAGCTCTTTTTCTAATGGCGCTTTCACTTTGTCTATAAATAGCCCTAACACAATCTAAAATTGTTCCATTTATACCGTAGTTTTCAAGAACATTCCATAATAAATTTCTGTTTACTCTATCTTACTTGATCTATGAAAGCGATGTTCATTTGATGTCTGTGTTCTATTGTCTTTTCGCTAACTTGTCTTAAAGCAAAAATAGCGTCAGTACACCCTCTTCCTTTCCTAAATCCGACCTGTGATGGGCTCAGGATCGGTTCTACAACGGATCTAATTCGTTGTTCCAGAATTTTGGCAAACATTTTTTCTACGTGGCTTAGAAGTGAGATGCCTCTGTAATTGTTACAATCTTGCTTTTTGCCTTTTCTTTTCCAAATTGGGACTATAAGGGCTCTTTGCCAGTCTATTGGTACAGTTCTTTCATTCCAGGCTTTCCTAAATATGTGGAGTAGCCAGGTACTCCAATTTCTCCACAAGCCTGTATTGCCTCGGCTGATATTCCATCAACACCTGATGCCTTATTTTTGGGACTGCATCTGATTGCTTCTCTGCCTTCTTGTTCGATTATTGTAGGCTGTTCCTCGTTTTGTACATCTGGGTGTGAGTGGTACTGTTTCCTCTTTTCCTGTTACATTCAGAAGAGTCTGAAAATATTCTTTCCACCTTTCTCTGATCTTGCCCTCCTCATGTATGGGTTTGCCTTGACTATCATTGACATATTCAGATGGCTGGAATGGTTCATCTCTAGTTCTCATTTTTGCAATGGTTTTGTAAAACTGTCTACTAGATTTAGCACAGATTTTGGTAAGATTTTCCCCATACATGATCCAAGATGTTTCCTTGGATTGTTTAATTTCTCTTGCAGATTGTCGCCTGGCAATTCTGTACTTGATATAATCGTCATCTGAGCGGGATCTTAGCCATTTCTTGTATTGCTCCTTTTTACATTTCACTGCTTGTTTTACGTTATCATTCCACCATGCTGTTTTTTTCCTGAACGTTCCTCCTACACTTCTGGTAAATGCACAAGTGAATTCATTTTAGTATTTATTTTTAACTTTTTATCCTTTTAAACATGATGCAATGCCTTTTATTTAACAACTTTATGCAGCGAAGTGATACAACGTGGAAATTCTATAAGGCAAGATGGCTGACGTGATTACAGCCCTCAGCTGTTTTGTTTATTTCTAAATATTAAACAGCCCGGTTCAGTTACACAAAATACATACGTGAAGTAAAAATCTATGGAAGGTTTGAGTTTGTGTGTGTTTGGAGGGGGGGGGGGGTGGTGGAGGACAGAACGTTAAGAGATAAACAAAGGACATTGTATTGATAAGCCTTCAAAAACTAACAGTCCATGGAGACAAACATAATAATGGAGGTAACTGCTAAAGTATCTTAATTTAAAAAAAAAAAAACACCTGTGAATGTTTACTTACAAATGTTTGCTGTTTTTTTTTTTATTTTATAAAGTTTAACATTGTCTGCCAGCGAGTCAGAAAGCTTATTTAAGGTCTACTTACTTTTTAGGACAACTGAGATTGCTCGACACACTTACGATATTACTGCCGCTTCCCCCCTCCCCGCCGCCGCACAATTTGTGTATTCAGCTTAGCGCATGGAGAATAGAAACGTTTAGATTATCTGGCTGATGTGTGTCTGCTACATGTCTTCTACGGCCATTGTGGACATAACGAAGCAGAACCTACTTTGAACTGTTCTTAAGTTGTACATTTCTAGTTTGAGAGAAATCACAGCCAGAACATGCCAGAGGGACCAGAACTACACCTGACAATGCTATCCATTAATAAGTTGTGTAAAGATGTGATATTTAGTGGGACAGTTGTCCGAAACCCAATTCACAAATGTGCAGAAGTGACATGGGACCAGGAGATGTACACAATCAGGGCCGAGTCTAGGGGCAAGGAGTTGCTGCTTCATCTACAGGAGGTGTCCGGCGGCAGCAACAGGACTTCAGTCACAGACAAAGTGCTGAGATCAATGTCCATTTTGTTTACTTTTGGAATGAGTGGAAAGTTTGCATTCACCCCAGCCCAAGAGCTGCTTAAACATTCCCACCTGTCGTTCATCACCAAAGAGGCTCCTCAAATGGCTGTCAGTTTTGTTGATCCCCGCAGATTTGGCAGGTGGGTGGAAGGTGGTACATGGTCCACAGACAGGGGGCCTTGTGTGATCCAGGACTATGACAACTTTGTGTATGTATACTTCCAAACTTCTCTTCTATACTTCCTAGTTTCTCTTCCCTATACTTCCAAACTTCTCTTCTATACTTCCTAGTTTCTCTTCCCTTTACTTCCAAACTTCTCTTTTATACTTCCTAGTTTCTCTTCCCTATACTTCCAAACTTCTCTTCTATATTTCCTAGTTTCTCTTCCCTATACTTCCAAACTTCTCTTCTATACTTCCTAGTTTCTCTGCCCTATACTTCCAAACTTCTCTTCTATACTTCCTAGTTTCTCTTCCCTTTACTTCCAAGTTTCTCTTCTATACTTCCTACTTTCTCTTCCCTATACTTCCAAACTTCTCTTCTATACTTCCTAGTTTCTCTTCCCTATACTTCCAAACTTCTCTTCTATACTTCCTAGTTTCTCTTCCCTATACTTCCCAACTTCTCTTCTATACTTCCTAGTTTCTCTTCCCTGTACTTCCAAGCTTCTCTTCTATACTTCCTAGTTTCTCTTCCCTATACTTCCAAGCTTCTCTTCCCTATACTTCCATTTACCATAAATACATTTACCATACTTCCATTTACCATAAATTCATTTACCATATTTCCATTTACTATACTTACAAGCTTCTGTTGTCTATATTTTCAAGCTTCTGTTCACCACACTTCTCTTTCCTATACTTCAAACTTCCCTTCCTCACCAAGTTTCTTTCCCATAAAACTGAAAGTTGTCTAGAAACTATTAGAGCATTAATTTGAAACCTGTTTATGGTGCAGTGTACCCAAATGTTTGCACTGAACATAACCATGTGGTAGTCATTTTAGAGGTACTGACCAGTGAATCAAAGATCCTGTGCTGTCATGTTAGAGGTACTGACCAGTGAATCAAAGATCCTGTGCTGTCATGTTAGAGGTACTGACCAATGAATCAAAGATCCTGTGCTGTCATGTTAGAGGTCACTGACCAGTGAATCAAAGATCCTGTGCTGTCATGTTAGAAGTACTGACCAATGAATCAAAGATCCTGTGCTGTCATGTTAGAGGTACTGACCAATGAATCAAAGATCCTGTGCTGTCATGTTAGAAGTACTGACCAATGAATCAAAGATCCTGTGCTGTCATGTTAGAGGTACTGACCAATGAATCAAAGATCCTGTGCTGTCATGTTAGAAGTACCAGTGAATCAAAGGTCCTGTGCTGAGCACCCCATGATATCAAGGTTCTCTGTTTGACCATTGAGAAAATCTCAGGACTGATCCAGAATCACTCCAGAGAAGCTAAGATAGAGGCTAGCATGAATGTTGACTGACTACAGAAAGGAGGAACACATGGAGTATTGTGTCAACCACTTGCTGCATTAGAGAGTGGAGGGCGATGCATTTCTCTTCTACAAAGTGTCAGTGATGGATAGACCATGGTGTCACCACTGAGACCTGCAGCAACAGAGAAAGCCTGCAATAGAAGCACCAACAGTTTGTTTTTTCAAGTGTAATGTTTCAGGTTTCTGCTGGTCAGGTTATGCTGAGCGTTTTTTTCTCTCTTTTTTAAAAATCCCTGAAGGGCTTTTGTTGTTTTGTTGGCAGACTGTGAAGACCCTGATGTCACATCAACTCCGCCCAGTACATGAAGACAATAGACACGTTGCATGAAGATATCAAGAAAAAGCATTCTGACATGCTTTCCTCTGTGATTTTGTTGCATGATAATGCTCGTCTGCATATTGCAAAAACTGTGCAGGAAGCCATCGCACTGATGCTTGTTTTTCTTCAGATGGCATTCACTGCTTATCTAAGCAATGTTATCCTTGTCTGAATGCCTACTGCGACTTTTTCTGACCAACCCGTGGGCGTAATTCATTCAGAATGAATGTTTTGTTTAATTCTGCCACACCTGTTGACGTTTCTTTCATGATTTTGTAATAAAACCATTGGAATGCGTTTTAAAATGTAGCGGTGTCCTATACAACGTGAAACAAACAGCTTGACTTTGTTCTCAAGCAAATAACCTAACACAAATATACACATTTTCAGTTCAGAGCTCTGATTGATAGAACAGTTGTGTAGTCTGTGTTAGATGTGCAGTATATATATTAGTTTGATCTGCCTAATTGTTTGAGTTGTTTCTCTCCCTCTGTATGTCGTACAGGAAGAACATCCTAGCAAATCTACAGCATCCAGCTTTCAAGAGGCCAGTCTGTGAAGTCTTGCTGGATCAGCAGTTCTTTAACGGCATCGGCAACTATCTTAGAGCGGAGATTCTCTACAGGTATTGAAGCTGTTTTCTCTGAGCTTTGTCATCAGAGCTTCACCAGCCCTTGCACACCCTTGCACACATTTGCATGCACTTTTGTGTGTTTTTAGTTTTTATTCTCATGTGTACATATTTGTACATGATTATTATTAGCTGTTGAGTGTATAAAGGTTGTTCATATTGTGACCAGTTACTGCTGGGCGTGTCTACAAGTTGCCAGTTTGTACATTTCACCAGGTGTCAGGTGCCGCCATTTGTTGCAGCCAACACTGTCCTCCAGCTCCAAGATGGTGGCACACAGATCAGTGTAAGTGTCAGATGTTTGTCCTCTCTCTACGGCAATAGTTGTTCCCAAATGTGTTTGAGGTGAGTGTTGCAACCTTTGACCCCAGGAGTTTATTCTAGCTTTTTGTCAGGTCCTGTTCAGCTAACTTCTTTGATGGGAAGGGACAGTTTTGAGGAAAACTTGGTGGGGCAATGAATAGTTTATGGTGATCTGTAGGGAAAGTTTAGAGGGAAACTTGGTGGGACAATGAATAGTTTATGTGATCTGTAGGGAAAGTTTATAGGGAGACTTAGAGGGTACATTGAATAGTTCCTGGTGATCATTATGGGTGAATGTGGCCCTAGAGGAGGAAGCCCCATTGTCTCAAGGTGGATGTTTTTAAATTTACAGATTTCTGTATTCTCAGGGCACAAAAGGAACAGTAAACTGCCCTTCATTTCAAGATGTGCTGAGGGAGACGGGGCACATATTTTTCCATCTTTAGAGTTATATTATTGAGTGTAATTAACTAAGCCAAATATTTGCATGGTTTCTCAGAACTTGCCATAAACAGTGATGCTTGGCTGTACAATTATGTATTGTTTGAACCTTGTTTTCTTTTAAACACAGGATCATCATAACCTCTGGTTAATTCAAAGTGTTAACTGACTTCACACAACCATATCATTTATTTTCCTGCAGACCAGTCAATATTTTAAAGAGGAGGGGTCAAATACTTTGACCTATGACATGCTGACCCCTAAAGCCCAAGAGCTGTTGCAACTGTGTCATACAGTTCCACTGGAGGTCGTCCGTCTTGGCAAGTTTGGTCTGTGTGTTTTGTTTTATCTTTTAGCTTCACAATTCTGTGAGGTCCTGGCCATTTGACAGTAGAAACTGCTGGGAGGTGATGAAACACAAGTAGATGTATTAGACTTGAACCTTATGATGGGCCATGACTTGACCTGTTTGAAATCTCCTGAAGTGATATATGCCTTATGTAGTAGAGTGTTTCATTATGGAACTGAAGTGACTGGCCTCTTCTTCTTGTCCTGTAACTGTCCAGCAGAGACATAACCTGTTCAACCTCAGTGTTCTGTGTTTTCTACCAGAGCTGGGTGTTGAATAGAGGCCACTGCTGATGAGCCCGCAACACTAGTTACTGCACCATAGTTGCCTCAGATAACGTATACTTTTGCCATGATTGCTTGCCTTATGACATAGAATTTGAATGTCTATATCATTATAGTTTGAATTACTGAAATCATTATAGAGTGGGGATGTCTATATTATTAAAGAGTTTGGATGTCTATATCATTATTGAGTTTGGATGTCTGTATCCTTATAGAGTTTGAATGTCTGTATCCTTATAGAGTGTGACTGTCTGTATCATTATAAAGTTTGAATGTCTATATCATTATAGAGTTTAAATGTCTGTATCATTAAAGAGTTGGAATGTCTGTATCATTATAAAGTTTGATTGTCTATATCATTAAAGAGTTGGAATGTCTATATCATTAAAGAGTTGGAATGTCTGTATCATTATAAAGTTTAAATGTCTGTGTCCTTATAGAGTTGGAATGTCTGTATCATTAAAGAGTTGGAATGTCTATATCATTATAGAGTTTGAATGTCTATATCATTATAGAGTTTGAATGTCTTTATCATTATAGAGTTTAAATGTCTTTATCATTATAGATTTTTAATGTCTATAGCATTATAGAGTTGGAATGTCTGTATCATTAAAGAGTTGGAATGTCTGTATCCTTATAGAGTCGAAATGTCTATATCATTAAAGAGTTGGAATGTCTATATCATTATAGAGTTTGGATGTCTTTATCATTATAGAGTTTGAATGTCTATAGCATTATAGAGTTGGAATGTCTGTCTCATTAAAGAGTTGGAATGTCTATATCATTATAAAGTTTAAATGTCTATATCATTATAGAGTTTAATGTCTATATTATTATAGAGTCCAAATGTCTAAATCCTTATATATAGGAAATTTCTATATCATTATAGAATCAAAATATCTTTATCATTATAGAGTTTGAATATCTGTATCATTATAGATACTGAATTTAATAGAGTTGACAAATTTAGATAAATCTAGACATTTAAGGAATGTCTTGATTATTACATGCTGGGGACATGTCTAGATTAATATACACTGGGGGAATGTTTAGATTATTATACACTGGGGGAATGTTTAGATTATAATACACTGGGGGAATGTTTAGATTATTATACACTGGGTAAATTTTTAGATCATTATACACTGGGGGAATGTTTAGATTATAATACACTGGGGGAATGTTTAGATTATTATACACGGGGGGGGGGGGGAATGTTTAGATTTTTATACACTGGGCGAATGTTTAGATTATTTTACACTGGGGGAATGTTTAGATTATTATACACTGGGGGAATGTTTAGATTATTATACACTGGGTGAATGTTTAAATTATTATACACTGGGTGAATGTTTAGATTATTATAAACTGGGGGAGTGTTTAGATTATTATACACTGGGGCAATGTTTAGATTATTATACACTGGGTGAATGTTTAAATTATTTTACACTGGGGGAATGTTTAGATTATTATACACTGGGTGAATGTTTAGATTATTAAACACTGGGGAAATGTTTCGATTATTATACACTGGGGAAATGTTTTGATTATTATACACTGGGGGAATGTTTAGATTATTATACACTGGGTGAATGTTTAAATTATTATACACTGGGTGAATGTTTAGATTATTATAAACTGGGGGAATGTTTAGATTATTATACACTGGGGCAATGTTTAGATTATTATACACTGGGGGAATGTTTAAATTATTTTACACTGGGGGAATGTTTAGATTATTATACACTGGGTGAATGTTTAGATTATTAAACACTGGGGAAATGTTTCGATTATTATACACTGGGGAAATGTTTTGATTATTATACACTGGGGGAATGTTTAGATTATTATACACTGGGGGAATGTTTAGATTATTATACACTGGGGGAATGTTTAGATTATTATACACTGGGGGAATGTTTAGATTATTAAACACTGGGGGAATGTTTAGATTATTAAACACTGGGGGAATGTTTAGATTATTATACACTGGGGGAATGTTTAGATTATTATACACTGGGGGAATGTTTATATTATTATACACTGGGGGAATGTTTAGATTATTATACACTGGGGGAATGTTTAGATTATTATACACTGGGGAAATGTTTAGATTATTATACACTGGGGGAATGTTTAGATTATTATACACTGGGGGAATGTTTATATTATTATACACTGGGGGAATGGATTATTATACACTGGGGGGATGTTTAGATTATTATACACTGGGGGAATGTTTAGATTATTGTACACTGGGGGGGAGTGTAGAAGTTGTTTAGACTATGGAAACATCTGGAAATGATGTCTGGAACTTAAGGTGTGTGAACTATTACAGGTTGCAGCAAGTACACATTGCTGGACCTGACAGCAGATGATGATGATGGATTGTTTGCAAACTGGTTGCAGTGTTACAACCAGGCAGGCATGAAAAGCCTGGCAGACCACAAGAAGCGAACTATCTGGTTCACAGGAGCCGCTGGGCCACTGGCTCCTACAGGTAGGCACAGTCTGGCTCCTACAGGTAGGCACAGTGAAATACTACATGCCAACCCCCAGTGTCAGGGCCTGTGTGGCTATAGGACGACTGTAGCTGATGATAGTGAATAACAAACTAGTACTTAGATGACTGCTTAATGACTCTCTTCAACAGCCCATGGAAGTTCCAGACTAGGAAAGTATGGTGGATGTGGCGACTGTAGAGTTCACGGGGGCAGGGACGGAGTTCACAGTGAAGGGTAGACTTGACTAAACAGAGGTTTTTTAAGGAGTTCGTCAGAGAGACTTGGATGGAGACGTGTGGTGTTTTGATCAGTTAGATGTTTGCTGGTTTGAGTTTAGTTAGCAACAGTTAGTCTGTGATAATGAGTTCTGTTGAGGGTATTATAATTCAGGTGTTAGTAGGCAGTATGGTGAGTGGGTTATAGAGAGCGAGTTCATTGTGTTTTTATTGTCTTTTTTTGGCAGGTTTAAGTGACACCATTGATCCACACTTTTCTCACACTGATGTTTTATGTGAAGATATTTTGATGTTTAGAGAGAACCTAGCAGGACAAGTTCTGTTTAGAGAGAACCTAGCAGGACAAGTTTTCATCTTGCAGGTTGTGTTTAGAGAGAGAACCTAGCAGGACAAGTTTTCATCTTGCAAGTTGTTAAAGTTAGTTGCATGACCTTTACAGAACGTTCCAGAATCAACCCTAGCATTTATTGGCTATTTGTGATTTCACTGGGCAGTTATGCTTTCAGCAGTTTGCCAGTGCTTTCTAAATGGTCAGCTGTCTATACCACAGTCGACACCAACACAAGGCAGTCAGCTGACAAATCACATGCAGCTGGAATCAAAACTGACACCTCAGCATTACAAAGTACTTTGGTAGCTCCTAAGCCACAGATGTACTTACAGGTTACAGAAATTATTTAAAGCTTTGACACAGAATATCACATCATTGATGTGTGGTAACTGTGCTGTTACTGTTGATCCTCCCAGCACCAGTACAACCATTGCTGTCTTACTGTGATCTGTTGTGGCAGTTTTTTTTTTTTTTTCTGTGAACAGAAGCACAGTCAAGGAAAGCTAAGACCTGGAAGAAGTCACCACCAGCCAACAAGGTCAAGGCAGAGGTGAGGACAGCACCAGCCAACAAGGTCAAGGCAGAGGTGAGGACAGCACCAGCCAACAAGGTCAAGGCAGAGGTGAGGACAGCACCAGCCAACAAGGTCAAGGCAGAGGTGAGGACAGCACCAGCCAACAAGGTCAGGGCAGAGGTGAGGACAGCACCAGCCAACAAGGTCAAGGCAGAGGTGAGGACAGCACCAGCCAACAAGGTCAAGGCAGAGGTGAGGACAGCACCAGCCAACAAGGTCAAGGCAGAGGTGAGGACAGCACCAGCCAACAAGGTCAAGGCAGAGGTGAGGACAGCATTCTGGCTCATATTTTTATGTTACTTGAAAAAGCAAATCTGCTAGCTTGAAACAAGTATAATAAATCTGAGGTGTCAGTAGAACTGACATGTCACCAGGTCGGATGATTAAAAGACTTACATCAAGAACATCATAAATCAACAAATGATTTCAACCAAATAACCCACAGTGTGGCCAGGTGTTTGCACACAGTGTGGCCAGGTGTTTGCACACAGTGTGGCCAGGTGTTTGCACACAGTGTGGCCAGGTGTTTGCACACAGTGTGAGGTATTACTTCAGTTAAATACTAAACAGGTAAATATTCATTAAACAGGGAAATATTCATTAAATAAGTAAATGTTAGTTCAGCAGGTAAATATTTATTTAACAGTCAAATTTTCATTTAATAGATAAGCAAGTATTCGTTGAGCAGGTAAGTATGTCATTAAAATGTCACAGACTTTGAATGAAAGAGTGACTCCTTGAGTACATGAGGCGGGAGAGACATTGTTTCTTTTGAGCAGACCATAATGAGAGCAACGTTCTGCTAAGGACCTGCTACGTGATGATGCTAATGTTTTTTTCCCTGCTGTGGCAAATAGGTCACACATAGCTTTGATATTGCTCTGGATACCGGTAGTACTTAAGTCTCCTGTATAACCGCTTCATTCCCCCGGTCCTCTGTTGGTATCTCACAAGGGATTATATTCATGTTTACGTTCTTCTTTGTTGGTTGTGCCTGTTGTTGTTACAAGTCTAGAATTCCGTGATTACCACTGTGTGAGAACTTTCTCTGACTCCCAGCAACAGTCAGACCTGTGAGAGACGTGTTCCTCTTCGTCACTGGTTCCCACTGTGTAAGAACTTTCGCTGACTCCCAGCAAGTCAGTCCTATGAGAGACATGTTCCTCCATGTGCCTACGGTCCTGTTGCCTGCTCCATTCCATGATGTAATCACTGTTAAATGTTTGATGCTTATCTTTTAGAGGATGTTGCAAACCACCTCTAGCATTTATTGGTTTGTGATTTTATGAGGGAGTTTTACATACCATCATTTAGTCGGTGCTGTCTGAACGGACATTCTCATACCATCTTTCTTCTTCTTCACATTCACCAGCTGTAAATACTAGTGGAAAGTTCTGGGTATTTGTCCACCTCTGGACTTTAGTCTTGTTCCAGAACCTGAGTGTTGTGTGCACATCCATTTTACACATCTTACTGTGTGCATATTGCTGGTTCTCTTCCTCTCAGGCAGATGCACTCCGATTTTAAAGGAAGCTCCCCAATTAGTCGACTCTTACGGCATGCTTGTTAGGGAGGCAGTGGGTCTATTCTTGTTTTCCCCACAATAGGGCCCTGGACCCCACACATGTAATACCATCTTAGAAATCAAAATAGTGTTGTCTGCAGACCAAACTGTCTGGTATTTCAAAATTACGAACTATGTTTGTAACCCCTGGGCAGGAAACACAATGTCGAAATGGGATGTCACAGAAAAATACCTAACTCTGTTATCACAGACTAGATAAGATGTGTGACTTACTCATCCCGGGGAATCCAACCATTGTGTGTTCCAGCAAACCTGGCTTCTTCCCCCAGGACACAGACCAGTGTTCACATCTTCTGTATATTTGGCTCTAAGTATCACAAATTCAGCATTGTTATAGTGATCTCCCACTTGTCCCAGGCTGCAAAACATTTTCAGACTGAACAGTGAAGGAGCACTGAGACACAGACATAAGACGTCCATGTTAGCTCATTGCTGAAATAGATAAGGAGCACTGAGACACAGACATAAGACGTCCATGTTAGCTCATTGCTGAAATAGTGAAGGAGCACTGAGACACAGACTTAAGACATCCATGTTAGCTCATTGCTGAAATAGCGAAGGAGCACTGACACAGAGATACATACTGCTAATCGCTTTATAAAGATGAATGGACAGCTCACACTGTATGGCTTGTGCCACACATCTCAAATCTTATTTTAAGGACCATTATGTGTCTGATTATTTCCTGTTGGCTGATGTAGTCTGCACCGTCTGTCTGCCCATTCTTGCATCCATCCTCTGTCTGCCTATCGAAGCGTCCACACCTCCATCCATTCTCTGACTGCCCATCGAAGCGTCCACACCTCCATCCATTCTCTGTCTGCCTATTGAAGCCTCCACCCCTCCATCCATTCTCTGTCGGCCTATCGAAGTGTCCACCCCTCCATCCATTCTCTGTCTGCCTATCGAAGCGTCCACCCCTCCATCCATTCTCTGTCTGCCTATCGAAGTGTCCACCCCTCCATCCATTCTCTGTCTGCCTATCGAAGCGTCCACCCCTCCATCCATCCTCTGTCTGCCTATCGAAGCGTCCACCCCTCCATCCATTCTCTGTCTGCCTATCGAAGCCTCCACCCCTCCATCCATTCTCTGTCTGCCTATCGAAGTGTCCACCCCTCCATCCATTCTCTGTCTGCCTTTCGAAGCCTCCACCCCTTCATCTATTCTCTGTCTGCCTATCGAAGTGTCCACCCCTCCATCCATTCTCTGTCTGCCTATCGAAGCCTCCACTCCTCCATCCATCCTCAGTCTGCCTAGCAAAGCCTCCACCTCTCCATCCATCCTCAGTCTGCCTAGCAAAGCCTCCACCCCTCCATCCATCCTCAGTCTGCCTAGCAAAGCCTCCACCCCTCCATCCATCCTCAGTCTGCCTAGCAAAGCCTCCACCCCTCCATCCATCCTCAGTCTGCCTAGCAAAGCCTCCACCCCTCCATCCATCCTCAGTCTGCCTAGCAAAGCCTTCACCCCTCCATCCATCCTCAGTCTGCCTAGCAAAGCCTCCACTCTTCCATCCATCCTCAGTCTGCCTAGCAAAGCCTCCACCCCTCTATCCATCCTCAGTCTGCCTAGCAAAGCCTCCACCCCTCCATCCATCCTCAGTCTGCCTAGCAAAGCCTCCACTCCTCCATCCATCCTCAGTCTGCCTAGCAAAGCCTCCACTCCTCCATCCATCCTCTGTCTGCCTAGCAAAGCCTCCACTCCTCCATCAATCCTCTGTCTGCCTAGCAAAGCCTCCACCCCTCCATCCATCCTCAGTCTGCCTAGCAAAGCCTCCACCCCTCCATCCATCCTCAGTCTGCCTAGCAAAGCCTCCACCCCTCCATCCATCCTCAGTCTGCCTAGCAAAGCCTCCACCTCTCCATCTATTCTCTGTCTGCCTAGCAAAGCCTCCACTCCTCCATCCATTCTCAGTCTGCCTAGCAAAGCCTCCACCCCTCCATCCATCCTCAGTCTGCCTAGCAAAGCCTCCACCCCTCCATCCATCCTCAGTCTGCCTAGCAAAGCCTCCAACCCTCCATCCATCATCAGTCTGCCTAGCAAAGCCTCCACCCCTCCATCCATCCTCTTATCTTGTCTATCCTTGTGCATGTGGTCTGGTTGCCTTGTTAATCTTTGGCCTGTATTAAACAGGTCAAGCAAGTCCTAGACAATGTGAAACAAGAACTGCCAGGTGAGCCGCTGGAAGACGACCTCATTCTAGACTATGCAGAGAGCAGCAAACCCAAGAGAATCAAGCCTGCAGGCAGGAGAGCTAACCACGGTTCCAGTCTCGGCACAGCTGCCGCTCTGAGTGTTGAGAATGACAGCGCAGAAGTGACATCCTCCACTACTAGCAAACCTTCACACAAGCAACATGTCAAGGCAGAAGCAGATGTGAAAATAGACAGGCATCCGAAAGTAGCTAGAAATATGAAGTTAACAGACCTTGAGAAGGGAAGTGCTGTTCCAACTACTCGAGTAACAAGATCCACATCAAGATGATTGTATAGTCAAGTGTGTGCAATTCTTCATGACTGTTCATTGTGTACCTTGCCAGTAGTAAACTTGATCAGTTACTGTTCTTGAAGGATTCTGTGGGTATTGATCACCAGATCATTGTCGTCAGAATATGAAAAGACTGACTGCACTATCACATCATTAGTGAATGGTGTATTGTGTTACATTAGTCTTAGATGGTGTTGGTGGTTACCGTGGGACATGTAACCTGTGCCAGATGTATTGTGGTTGTTAACTTGTGCCTTGCTCTCCTGTAGGATACAGATACATGTATACTTGATGAGCCAATTACATAAACATATCAGCAAGTACTGACAGATACATCTATACTTGATGAGCCAATTACATAAACATATCAGCAAGTACTGACAGATACATGTATACTTGATGAGTCAATTACATAAATATATCAGCAAGTACTGACAGTTACATGTATACTTGATGAGCAACTTACATAAACATATCAGCAAGTACTGACAGATACAGCTATACTTGATGAGCAACTTACATAAACATATCAGCAAGTACTGACAGATACATGTAGACTTGATGAGCCAATTACATAAATATATCAGCAAGTACTGACAGATACATGTATACTTGATGAGCAACTTACATAAACATATCAGCAAGTACTGACAGATACATGTATACTTGATGAGCAACTTACATAAACATATCAGCAAGTACTGACAGATACATCTATACTTGATGAGTCAATTACATAAACATATCAGCAAGTACTGACAGATACATGTATACTTGATGAGCCAATTACATAAACATATCAGCAAGTACTGACAGATACATGTATACTTGATGAGCAACTTACATAAACATATCAGCAAGTACTGACAGATACATCTATACTTGATGAGCCAATTACATAAACATATCAGCAAGTACTGACAGATACATCTATACTTGATGAGCCAATTACATAAACATATCAGCAAATACTGACAGATACATGTAGACTTGATGAGTCAATTACATAAACTTATCAGCAAGTACTGACAGAAACATCTATACTTGATGAGCCAATTACATAAACATATCAGCAAATACTGACAGATACATCTATACTTGATGAGCCAATTACATAAACATATCAGCAAGTACTGACAGATACGTGTATACTTGATGAGCCAATTACATAAACATATCAGCAAGTACTGACAGATACATGTATACTTGATGAGCCAATTACATAAACATATCAGCAAGTGCTGACAGATACATGTATACTTGATGAGCCAATTACATAAACATATCAGCAAGTGCTGACAGATACATCTATACTTGATGAGCCAATTACATAAACATATCAGCAAGTACTGACAGATACATGTATACTTGATGAGTCAATTACATAAACATATCAGCAAGTACTGACAGAAACATGTATACTTGATGAGTCAATTACATAAACATATCAGCAAGTACTGACAGATACATCTATACTTAATGAGTCAATTACATAAACATATCAGCAAGTACTGACAGATACATGTATACTTGATGAGCCAATTACATAAACATATCAGCAAGTACTGACAGATACATCTATACTTGATGAGTCAATTACATAAACATATCAGCAAGTACTGACAGATACATGTATACTTGATGAGTCAATTACATAAACATATCAGCAAGTACTGACAGATACATCTATACTTGATGCGTCAATTACATAAACATATCAGCAAGTACTGACAGATAAATCTATACTTGATGAGTCAATTACATAAACATATCAGCAAGTACTGACAGATACATCTATACTTGATGAGCCAATTACATAAACATATCAGCAAGTACTGACAGATACATGTATACTTGATGAGTCAATTGCATAAACATATCAGCAAGTACTGACAGATACATGTATACTTGATGAGTCAATTGCATAAACATATCAGCAAGTACTGACAGATACATCTATACTTGAAAATCCGGGTTGAAAGAGAAACAGAAATCCAAGAAGAGACGCGGTGACAACCCCGAGAAACAAGAGGATGACAACCTCACCCAAACATCACCAGTAATCTGCCAGCCAACCAAACGAGGGAAAACCGATTTGGTTGACCTCGACCCTGAAACCGACGGTGATGAGCCGAGCAAACTGTCCGCAGACAGGGGGCAGAGCGAGAGGACTTCTCCGCAATTGTCATCAGATATTGATACCTGCACAATACAGTACCTGCTGGTCCCTTTGAGGATAGGCAGAGCGAGAGGACTTATCCGCAATTATCACCAGATAGGACTGAAACTTACATAACACAATACAAAGTATTTGCCAGAGCGAGAGGCCTTCTCCGCAAGCACCATGTCTCGGAGAAACAAACCTAACGGAAAGCGCAACGGACAGAGGAAACAGCCCACTGACAGATCTACCCGATCTAACTCGGAGGCCAGGAAGACGCAGACAGATACTACCGAACCACAAGAAGACGCCCCTACTACCAGTGAGGCCCTGAGTGACGTCCCAGCGTCACCTGAACCAACACAGCCAAGTCCACAAACATCTCCAGATCGACGAAAGACAGGCAGCTATGAATTTCCTGCCACAATATTTCTACGACAGACCAACTCGGGCCGGACAGCAATCACTACACTGGCAACGCTAACATTGATCAATATGCTGGAGATCATGTTAGGCAAGAGGGCAGTCGCAAAGATTAAGAGAACTCGAGAAGGAGTGATAGCTTCACTAAACAGAACCAACCGCACCTCAGACATGCTGGATGACATCCAACACGACGGCAAGAAAGAACTCCGACTATCCGAGGAGATAACTGTAACGGCCACCATCTTCCAGAATGTAAGACGCTGGGTGATCCGAAGAGTCAACCTGCAATGGAGCAACGAAGAAATTCTGCAAACAAATAAGGAAAGAAAACCCCCAATGTCAACATCAACCAAGCAGAGAGACTGGGCTCAAAACGGCATCCATTGCCAGTGGCGGTGATAACAATCGGAAGGAGAAAACATCCCGGATAAAGTCTACCTAGATCAAAGAATGCAAAGACCAGAGCAATACGTGCCACAGGTGATCCAGTGCTCTCGTTGCCAAAAAGCCATGGCACTCCCGGGCCACTTGTGTGAGCGAACATGAAGTATGCCGATACTGTTCACAACACCATGCCTTCAACAATTGCCCGCTGGCAAAGCTGGACACAGACTTTAAGTCACCCAATACGAACAGAAAGTGCGCCAACTGCTACGGCCAGCACAGCACCAGGTACCTGGGGTGCCCCTATCTGCAACAATGTAGAGAAATTGCAACCACGGCCCATACGGGATAAGATTCCATACCATGAGGCCCCGCAGAAGACACGAAGCAACCCAAGGCATAACTGCAGCCATTACCACCAAATTGAGCAACGAGGTGGCTCAACTCAAAAGTGACATCCAAGCTCTCAGAGACGAGAAAGACGCATCCAAAAGGCAAACGAGATGAAGACAGAGATGAAATAACAGGCCTGAGAGCTATAATGCAGGGCGACTCTTGACACCCAGAAACGGATGACAGCAGAGATGACGAAATTCAAGGAGGACATCATGAATGCACTGGCCACTATCCAGACACAAAAGGAACAACCAACTAAGGCAAGGGAAGACGAGGCGGTAATCAAAGATCTGCGGGATAACCAACAACTTCTCGCGCGAAAGAAGTCGCAATGATCAAGAAGGCACTGGCTGAAACAGAGGAAAAGTTACGAAGAGCATACGAAGAAAACAACAGACTTAACAAGGAACTGCAAGCAACCAACAGAGTGATGGAAGAAAGAGAGAAAGCACGGAAAGAGGCAACAAGAAGGCAGCAAATACAGGGAGCCGAGACCCAGAAAAAGCTGCATCAAACACCAGATAAGAAAACTCAGGCATTGCTGATGAAACAGTTTCCGTTGGCAACAGTTGACCAAATTAACGAACGCATCATGGAGATGGAGGACCCGAACTTCTATAACTCAGAACTGCAGGATGATGATGTTTTTTTGGTCATCACCAGAGGAACCACATCGACAGCCAAAATTTGAAGTCAAACGAGGTCGACACCGTTACCCCAAACACACTAATACCAGATACGACACAACCAAGGCCAAATTACCGAAACCCTATGTAGGAGCAGTACTTTACAACAAGGATACGAGAAAATCACCAAATAATACCAGACCTCAGCAGTATAGCCATCAGTACCTGCCCAAGTCAATCGACCGCCGGTCCTTATTAGGATAGGCAATCTACTTTCCCCGGAAACAACAAACAGCCAAGGAAAACCACAATAAATCGATCCAACATCCAATCATCTTGAGCGCAGCACAGGGCC